GATCTTTAAACGGCCAATGGGAACACAGTTGACCTTTCTCAGCTCGGAGCCACCCTGCACGGTTTACCCCGAGCCTGGCAGATAAGGGGCAATTGTACCAAGATTTGTGGAAAAGGACACGGAGGTCCTGGTGAATGGGCTCGGACAGAGAAGGACCATTCTCTTCCCAGAAGAGGTCACATGGCCAGACCCATCGAGCATGGTCTGAGCTCACCACCCAGCTCAGTGCAGTACCTGCAGTCTGAAGAAATGTCCAGCAGTACAGGACAGACATCAGTAACCTTCCCGGCTCTGCCAGGATCAGTGTCACCGTATTCTTTCTGCTCCCTCTCTCTTTCTGTCTCCCTTTCTCTTGCGCCTCCGCTACTCCCCTACACTGAAAACACTGCATGGATTCAACACTGTTGACTGTCTCACTCCAGCTATCTCACCATTTCCCCCCCGCCTACACCATCACTTACAGCAGGACCACCCACTTTCACCTTCACTCCCTCCCTCCCTTTCTGTCATTCCCGGGAAAACAGCCTGGAATAGGACAGAAATTGCCAAGCTGGATGTTGGAGTGCCCGACATCAGTTCCGTCCACCCCTGCCCCGCCATGCGGAGAGGAGCCTGGTACGAGCCAGAGAGAACTGGAACGACCCGTGTGGAGATTCCAAAACATCCCCGTCCAACCAGCCGACGGGAGGAGCAAATTTCAGTGAAGGGTAATTCTCACTTTAAACGCACTGTCAGTTCCATTTCCTCCTGGTACAGCTTAGAAACCGTAGCCCTGATGCCATCTCCTTTCCATATCGAGCCGGTATGAATCGACTCCCACGATCTCCCAAGGTAAATCAGTGATATTAACCAGAATTTAAGAAATCCAAACTTAGCTGAACTTAAAATGTTACCAAAATCTGGACATGGTTTAGGTCTTCTGTACTGGGTAGCATCCATGCCACTGAGGCAGATAGCTGGATTTGATTCCCACCCCTGAATCTGTGGTAATGTCCCCAGCTCTGGAACAGAAGTTCTTAATTCAAGTCCTGCCTGTTTCAGAGGTGTGTCACAGCATGTCAGGACAGGTTAATGAGGACATACAAAGGAGAAGAATTTTGCAGATTCAGGGTCTATTGCAGTGTGGTGTTAGTGTCTGCACCTTTAGGCCCAAAGGTCCAGATTCAACTCCCACAGAGGTTTTCATAATACATCTGAACAAGTTGATTAGAATTATTTTGGAATTGTGACTTGATCGAGGAGGAAGAGGTATCAGTTTTGAATTTCAGGATTTAGTCACGGGATGACAGAAAGCACAGTCATTCGTGTTGATTGGAGTAAAATTTGCACCTTTTAGATGTTTGTAAAATCATGAAGGCATGGACAGGGTGAATAGTCAAGATCTTTTTCCCACAGTAGGGGAGTCCAAAATTAACAAGTTTAAGGTGAGAAAGGGAAAACTTAAAAAAGAGCTAAGAGGCAACCTCTTCACGCAGAGGATAATGCACGCATGGAACAAAGTGCCAGAGGAAGTTGTGGAGGCTGGTAAAAATAACATTTAAAAAGGCATCGGGATGTAAATGAACAGAAAGGGTTTCGAGGGATATGGGCCAAAGGTTGGCAAATAGGAATAGATTAATTTCGGATATCTGGTCGGCAAGGACAAGTTGGACTGAATGCTTTGTTACCATGCTGTACATCTGTTTGATTCATTCATCCAATTGATCTAGATCTCTTTGTAATCTTAGATAACCTTCTTCCCTGTCCAGTATCCAAAAAACCTTGGTGTCATCCGCAAACTTGCTGGTTGTGCCTTCTATAATTCACACCTAAGTCATTTTCATAAATTACAAACAAATGTAGATCCAGCACCGATCTCTGTGGATCACCACTGGTCATAAGTTTCCAGTCTGAGAAACAACCCTACACGACAACACTGTCTCCTCCCATTAAGCAGAAATACACACACAGGCATATCGGGACACAGACACAGTTGTGTCTTTAAGACAGGGGTTGATAAGTTTTGATTAATAAGGGGATCAAGGGTTACATTTAGAAGGCAGTAGAATTGTGTTTGAGAACATGTCAGGCATGATCGAACAGCAGAGCAGACTGCTCCAATTTCTTATGCTGTATGGTCTTCAGGAATCAGGAATATTTTCCCACAAGAGCAGTGGAGGCTGAGATTGATAAATACTTTACTGAATAGAGTCAATGGGAATGTGGGATCGGTTTGAGGGGCTCTGAATAGCCAAATCTGCTCCTATTTGTTGTGCTCTTCAAAGAGGAGGTGACTTGCTGTGAGGTTAACACATTTTAAGGAGTCTCCTAATTAAGATTGAGATAAGGATTTTGCTTTCTCTTTAATATTGTGCTTTCTGTAGTGTTGTCATCCCCAGGGAACATTGAAGACTCGGTTATTAAAGACATTTAATGCTGACCTCAACTGATCTTTGATGATCAGCAGAGTCAATATTTATTGGGAATAAACAGGAAAGGGGTGTTCAGCCACAATCAGATCAGCCATGATCTTTCTAAATTGAGCAGGAGGCTCGAGGGTCCAAATGGCCAACTGCAGGTTCTTTCCGATGTGTTGTTATCTTACTCCACCCCTCGAGGATGTTATAGAGGTAAAGGAAGACCCATTCAACAAGTCAGGATTACAGCAGATAGGAGGAGACCATTCTGCCCTTTGAAGGAATTACATCAGAATCGAATGAAATATTCAGTCATAGAGTCATAGAGATATACAGCATGGAAACAGACCATTTGGTCCAACTCATCCATGCTGTTCAGATATCCTGAATAAATCTAGCCCCATTTTCCAGCATTTGGTCCATACTCCTCTGAACCCTCCCTACGCATATACCCATCCAAATGCCTGTTAAATGTTGTAACTGTATCAGCCTCCACCACTTCCTCTGGCAGCTCATTCCATATACGCACCACCCTCTGCATGAAAATATTGCCCTTTAGGTCGCTTTTAAATCTTTCCCCTCCCATCTTAACCTATGCCCTCTTGTTTTGGACTCCCCACCCCAGGGAAAAGACCTTGACTCTTTACCCTGATTTACCATGATTGTATAAACTTCTGTAAGGTCACCCCTCAATGACAATTGCTTATTTGATTGTGTAGCGACTGCAGCAATTTTTCCACACAGCACCCACAGCCAAACATGACATTACTCCTTAAGATTATCTGTATTGGTAATGTTGATAAAGGGACAAAAGTAAGCCAGGCTAATAGGAAATCGCCCCTCCTTCTCAATACGTGTCCAGGGAAAACTGAGCACCTGATTGAGTTGGCAGACAAGATTTATTGCTGCATCTGAAAGACAGCATTTTTTACCGTGCAGCATTCTACTCAAGTGTTAGTCTATATTCTGTGCTTGTCTTTTAATCGAACAAGTATCAATATCATTGACAGTACAACCTCAACCTGATTATCTGACAACAAATGTCCCTAATGGTGAATTGCGGAGCTCAGAAACACCTCGACAACCAGCTGCGCATCACAGGAGGAGACCATGCAACCTTTCTAGGCTGCTACACAGGAACAGGGAGCCCTGGTTCACTAAAATTAAATACAGAGCTGAAATAACTACTTCCTTCTACATTGGAAAGTTGTACTTAATGGAATTCCTCAGGGACCAGTGTGTGGTCATCAACAATTTACGATCGACATTAACGACTTTGGAGGGAGTGGTGAGAGCGTGAGACAGGGGGAAGCCGGGAAAGCAGGCTTCTGCTTTTAAAAACTTACCTCGTGAGTCGTTGGCCTATTTGATTCGAGTGGCGGGAGTGGTCAGAGCGCGAGCCGGAAAGTGAACTATTATATTCGGGCATTGTCCTATATCAATAGTTTAGAAAAATGCAACAAAATGTATTCTAACAAAATTTGTCAATGATGCTAAGATAAGCATGAAATTAAGCTATCAGGAGGAGGTAGAGAGAATGTAAATTGATAAGCAACGGACAATTTGGCAGATGAAATATAACGTTGGTAACTGTGAACCTGTGAGATTTTCAGGAAGAACAAAAGGCTATATATTACGTAAATGGAGGGAGATTATGGGACCTAGTGATGCAGTGTGTACTGTAAGGTTCACTGTGAAACGTTCAGACATTGGAAGCGTTGCTCTATCATCTGATGGTCTACTCCCTGATGTTCCAAGTTGCCTCGTTATTCTCAGTGCACACGGGATACTTTGATGTGGTTCGTTGGCGGTGGGGAGTCGTGAGGGGGAGGGTGTTTTGGACGGTGTATCAAGGGTGTGGCCTTTATCCAAGATACCATCCTTTCTTTTTACGTGGAGACCCGAAGATGTTGGGAACGGCTGCCTGTTTCTGAACGCAGAGGCTGTGGCTGCTGCGAGGACAGTGGGCGTTCATCAACATGATGTACTGTGCATGGTCACACTGCAATGTTAATGGAGTGAGAGTTTGAAGGGTTCAATCACAAGAACGAAAACATTAAATGAAGGTATTTTCAGATCAGCTGAAATGGTTAGTTCTATCCCATTCTCTATTCACCTGCCAGAACCAGCCCGGACACTTTTCTCTGTTCACTCACAGGATGTGGGCTTCACTGACTGGGCCAACATTCATTCCATCCCGCATTGCCCAGAGGGTAGTTAGAGCCAGTGACGTTATTGGGTGTGTGGGGTCACATGTAGGCCAGAGCAGGAAAGGATGGCAGTTTCCTTCCCTACAAGATATGAGTGAATCAGATGGGTTTTCCCAAAAATTGCCAATGGTTTCATCTTCATCATTCAACTTCTAATTCCAGATTTTTATTGAATTCAAATTCCAACATCTCACTTGGCAGGATTTGAACACAGGGCCTCAGAGCATTATGTGCGTTTTTGGATTAATAACCTAGCAATAATACCCTCGGCCATCACTGTAAACCCAGATGAAATATCAATTCATAATGGAGCACGTTGCAGACTAGATTGTGTCCTGAGCTCCATCTTACAGGAACTTTCAGTCATTCAACTCCCCAAGTTCCTGTCACTGACCAAATGACTCTCAGACACTTTCTTGCACCAGTTTTCTTCAAACACGTGTTCGTGAGCCATTTCTCATGAGGACGGACTCTCCAAACAATATACTACATCAGCTTTATGCTTGCATGTAATAATAAGCACACTTTATACAGACCAATGAAAAATATACATTTATTTTATGGTTATCAATATCCAATCACAGTCATTAATTCTAATTATTTTGCTTGGTCACCTTATTGTGTTCAGCCAATGGCACCATCTTGATACATCTCACTATAAAGTATAATTTCAAGCAGACATTTATCTTGTCCTCAGCCATTATCTTGACCGGTATATGACTTGTAGCTTCTTCATTGTCATCAAAGTTTCTATTGTCCCTTACCTTTAACATTGTTATTTTATCAGGGATCCCCAGTAAAATTTTGCATGATTTTACATGGCAGAACGTCAGTTCCCTTTCACAAAACCATGTTGACTCCGATTGCATGAAGGTTCTCGAAATGTCCTGCAGTCCTTTCCTTAATAATGGAGTCTAGCAGATTCCCAATGATGACTGTTAGGCTAACTAGCCTATCAGCTCCTGCTTTCTGTCTCCCTCTCTCCTTAAAGCCACGTGTTATTGGTTCATAGAGTTATACAATACAGAAACAGACCCCTCAGTGCAACTCGTCTGCACTGACCAGATATCTCAATCTGATCTCGCCCCATTTACCAGCATTTGGTACATATCCCTTTAAACCCCTCCTATTCAAATAACCATCCAGATGCCTTTTAAATATTGCAATTTAACCAGCCTCCATCTCTTCTACTGGCAGCTCATTCCATATATGCACCACACTCTGTGTGAAAAAGTCACCCCTTGGGTCCTTTTTAAATCTTTCTTGTTTCACGTTAAACCTATGTCATCTAATTTTGCATTCTGCTACCATGGGGAAGTTACCTCAGCTATTCACCCTATCCATGCCCCTCAAGATTTTATAAACCTCTTTCCCTCGGCGTTTGACTCTCCAGGGAAAAAAGAAGCCCAGCCTACTCAGTGTCTTTCTATAACACACACCCAATATAACACCAATCCTGGCATCATCCTTGTAAATATTTTCTGAATATTTCCAAATTTAACAACATCTTTCGTACAGCAGGGTGACCAGATTTATATGCAGTATTCCAAAAGTGGCCTCATCATTGTCCTGTACAGCCGCAACATCAAGTTCCAATTCCTATACTCATTACACAGACCAACATCACAATAGAGGTTTTTCAGTTTTGTTGGAACATTCATGGAATACAGAGAGTGCTGGAATATTTCAAACAATGTCCCCTTCTTTATCCATCAAACTTGCTACCCTAGTCAAGATAACGATAGCTGATTCTTTATACCCACATTATACTCCTGCTCTCCCCTCATCCCTTTTGATTCAATAAATCCATCCACTTTATTTGAATTGACATTCAGTGCCTTGGCTTCCACAGTGGTAGTGAATTCCCCAGGTTCACCAGTCTCCGAGTGAACACATTTATTCTCACCTCAATGCAGAGTGATCTGCTTGTTCTTAAGACTGTAACCCTTTCTTTTCGACATTCCAGCCAGGAAATCATTATCCTTGCTTCCATTCTGCTTCGCTCTGACAGAGTTTTATATGTTTTACTGAGATCTCCACTCATTTTTGGAATCTTCATCGAATACAGGCCCAGTCAACTCAAACTCCGCTCACACAACAACCTGTCATCACAAGGATCAGTCTGGTCATACTTTGTTAAATTCCTCTGGAGCAAGTGTGTCCTTTGTTCAGTAAGGAGACCAAAGCTGCACACAGTACTCCAGAATATTCACGATGAGACCTCACCTGTACAGCCACAGTACGACAGCCTTACTCCTCTGCACGATTCTCTTTAAAATGAATATCAATTGAAACATTTATCCCGCATTGTTCCTTTCAATGACTGATGTTCAAGGACATCCAGATCCATTTCAGCATTATGAGTGCCCACTTGGTGGGTATATGTGCACTGACCAGCGTACCAATGCCATTCACAGTGTTGACTTCTAGCTTCAGAAGTCACTGCCCTGCATAGATCTCGGAGGTCTGCGCAGAAGAACACAAAAGAGAGGAAGCACAAGTCCCTTTATCGATCAATATTTTTCAAACAATCCCTTTTCAAATATTAGGCTGCTGTTCTATTACTTCCCACCAAAGTGCACAATGTCACATACATCCTCATTGCTCTTCATCTGCCATATATTTTCCCAATCATTCCACTTGTCTCAATTGCTTTGGAGAATCTTTACATCCTCCTCACCACTCACAATCCCAGTTTTGTACTGTCAGCAGACTTGGACACATTGCATTTGATTCCCTCAACCAAACTTTTGATATGTTTTTTGAATATCTGGAGTCCCTGATTTACACCATGAAACTTCCAATCCAAAAAAAAAAATCAATTTATTCCTGCTCACTGTTTCCTGTCAGCTCCCCCATTATGACACCATATATTTGGCCCAATCCCATGTGGTTTTACTTTACACACCAGGCTTGGGACTCTATCAAAAATCTTTCCAAAACTCCAAATGCATTGCATCCATTCCATCTCCAAAATTTATCTCCCAGTTGGTTTCTCAAATACGATTCCCAATCATAAACCGACATTGACTTTGTCTATGCCCATTAAATCCTGTGACAGTAATTTCTCCAAATTAGTTTATTTACTAATTTCATTCTATTTCTATTTCTCACCACACTTAGGTTTCCTAGTATTGCTCAGAAGGTTTTCTTTTTGTGTTTTCTTCTGTGAATACAGAACTGAAGGAGTTATGTCATACTTCTGCCATTTCCTCGTTATTCATTCTCCACTGTCTGGTTTCAGAATGTTTTCTCATGCGTTCCCTACTGGCATCATTTTAGAAGCAATTGCAGTTCATTCTTATAGCCTTTGTTATTATAGTATCCAGAACCCCACAATTCCTGCCCTATGCTGCTCAATGGTTGAACTTCCACAACCATACAATCACAGAAGCATGGACTGTGTACCGTCAGAAATACAGTGCAACGTCCATTAGTCCCACTTTCCTACACGACGCCCGTCGCCCTGAATTTTATGACACTTCAAGCGCTCATCCAAAAACTGTTCAATGGGTTGTGAGGTTACCCATGACAACTCCTTCTCAGAAAGAGCATTCGAGCCCCCAGCACTCTCTGGGTGAAAGCAATCCTTAAATTTTCTTTAACTCTCAAACCCTTCACTTTCAAAGTGTACTCCCTTTTTCTTGGCCCTTTTACTAAAAGGAGAAGCTGCTTTCTATTCACCCTGTTCATACCTCTCAATCTTGTATACCTGAATTACTTACCCGCTCAACTTTTACTGCTCCAAGGCAAACAACTCGAGGTTAAACATCCTCTCTTCAGAGCTGATGTGCTCCATCGCAGAGAACATCCTGGCGAATTTCCTCTGCGCTCCTTCCAGTGCAATCTTATCCTTCCTATAACGTGGCATCAAGGACTGCACACAGTACTCCATCTTGGCCTAACCGATGTCCTGTATACTCTTATAATCTATGCCTTGATGAATAAAAGCTATCCCTACAGTCCTCTATGCCTTGTTAACTAACATAATAACTTGTCCAGTCACATCAGGGATCTGTGGAGAAATGCCCTCTGAGCTTCCTAGTGTGCTGTCATTCATTGAATACTCCCCTTGTCTAGTTCCTTCTCCCATAGTGTATCACCTCATATTTATCAGTGTTACATTCCATCTGCCATTGATCTGCCTATCTGACTTTTCTTTCACTATCTTCCTTTAACAAACACCTTCCTCCTCAGTACCAAACACCTAGCCAATCCTTGTATCAAACACAAATCTACTCATCACACATCCCCTTCCACCCGCTCCTCATTCACATCTACATCATTTCTGAATTCCACAAACAATAAGGGACACAGAACTGATCCCTGTGGTACATCATTGGACACTGGTCTCCAGTCACACAATCAGCCATATACTATCATCCTCTGTCTCCTGACACTAAGGTGATTTTGGATCAAACTTCGCAAGTCAGTAATGTGTTCTCTAATTATTCTGTTCCGTTGACATACTAGTAGAATGTCTGGGGATTCTCCCTCAATTTGCCTGCCAGCAATTTTCCATGCCCCTGCGCAAGTCTATCCCCTCCGAGTGAAGAATTTGCTCCTTGTTGCAGTCTTAAATGGCCTGCCCCTTATCCAGCCATTATTCACCTTCAACGTGGAGGAGACAATCAGGGAAATATTGTGTTTATTTCCAACTTGTCATATGTTTTGTGAATTTTCTACATTTCACTGCGATCACTTCTTATTCTTTGAAACTGTAGAGAACACAGGCCGAGATTCCTCATCAGACTATCTTGCCATTTGAGGGATAAAGGTGGAGAATGTTTAATGCACTTCCTCTGGGGTAAGTATATTCCTTCTTAGATTGAAACACCAAACCTGTACGTAATACTCAATGTACAGTTTCACCAACACTCTATGCAACTGCTGCAGGATGTCTTTACTTCGATATTCCAATTCCCTTAACTGATGGCCAACCTAGCTTTTTACAAATATTCCTCCAAATATCCTTTGAATTAATTTTATTTATGAACTCACGATGTGAGCTCTTGCAGAAAGCCTTCTGAAAATCCAAATATACCACTTCCACTGGTTCTCTATTGTCTATGCTGCAAGAAACAAATTCAAAAATTATGATGTTTGTCAAGCATGATTTCTCCTTCAGAAATGCATACTGATTCTCTCCAATGTTGTTTATAATTGCTAAATATCCAATAACACATCCTGTATCAGAGATTCCAACAGTTTCCTTACCGATATCAAGATAATTGGATTGCAGTTCTCCACACTATCCCTTCTTCCCTTTGTAAATGGTTGGATAATGTTTACTAACTTCCAGTTATCTACAATGGCTTCCATTCTTTGCAGAATGTACAGGAAAATAAAACACAGTTATCAACAGTGCAATTAATAATTCTATTGCTGCTTTCTTTTCCTGATATTTTGATATGAGGTACATCTGGTCCATCAAATGTAGCAATGCTCAATCCA